CTCGGAGGGCGGCCCCTGCGCACCGCCGGCCGCCGCGAGCGCCTGCCGCAGCTCCTCCGCCGCCTGCCGGGGGGGGGGCGGCAGCTCGCCCCGCCCACTGCCCCCCCTGGAAGCCGGGACGGCAGGCGCTGCCCCAGGGCGCATGTCCCCTCAGGACCCACCTGCACTCCCTCCTCCTCCTGCTCCTCCTGCTCCTCCTGCTCCTCCTTCTCGGCCTCCTCTTCCTCCTCCTCCTCCTCCTCCATCATCATCATCATCATCATCATCATCATCATCATCATCATCATCACCATCATGATCATCATCATCATCATCATCATCATCATCATCATCATCATCATCATCATCACCATCATCATCATCATCATCATCATCATCACCATCATCATCATCATCATCATCATCATTATCATCATCAGCATCATCATCAGTATCATCATCATCGTCATCATCGTCATCATCGTCATCATCATCACCGTCACCACCATAATCCTCAGCATCATCATCAGATTCGTCATCATCACCAGCAGCATCATCAGCATGATCATCCTCATCATCTTCGTCAGCATCAATATCATCGTCATCATCATCATCATCACCATCATCATCACCACCACCATGCTCATCATCATCATCATCATCATCATCATCATCATCGTCATCACCATCATCAACGTCAGAAGCATCAGCATCATCATCATCACCAGAAGCATCGTCATCGTCATCATCGACATCATCATCACCATCACCATCACCATTACCATCACCATCATCATCATCATCACCATCACCATCATCATCGTCATCGTCATCGTCATCGTCATCATCATCACCATCATAATCATCATCATCATCATCATCATCATCATCGTCGTCGTCGTCGTAATCATCATCATCATCATCATCATCATCATCATCATCTCATCTCCTCTTCCTCCTCGTCCCCTCACCTCCCCTCCCCTTCCCTCGCCTCTCCTCTCCTCTCTTCTCCTCTCCTCTCCTGTCCTCTCCTCCTTCTCCTTCTCCTCCTCCTCCGCCTCCGCCTCCTCCTCCTCCTCCTCATCTCCTCTTCTCGCCTCTCCTCTCCTCCGCCTCTCCTCTCCTCTCCCCTCCTCTCCTCTCCTCTCCTCTCCTCACCTGCTCCTGCTCCTCCTTCTCCCCTCTCCTCTCCTCTCCTCTCCTTCCCTCTTCTTTCCTCTCCTCTCCTCCTGCTCCTTCTCATCGTCCTCCCCCTCCTCCTCCTCGTCTCCTCCACCCCATCATCATCATCATCATCATCATCATCATCATCATCATCATCATCATCATCATCATCATCATCATCATCATCATCATCATCATCATAATTATCATCATCATCATCATCATCATCATCAGCATCAGCATCATCATCATCATCATCATCATCATCATCATCATCATCATCATTCATCACCAATCCTCATCCTCATCATCGTCATCTCCATCACCATCATCACCACCACCATCATCATCATCATCATTATCATCATCACCGTCATCATCATCGTCGGCGTCGTCGTCATCCGCGTCATCATCGTCATCATCGTCATCACCATCACCATCAGCATCATCATCAGCATCATCAGACTCATCATCATCATCATTCGCATCATTATCATCAGCAGCATCATCATCAGCATCGTCGTCATCAGCAGTATCATCAGCAGCATGATCATCGTCATCAGCATCATCATCATCGGCATTACCATAATCATCAGCATCAGCAGCATCGGCATCAGCATAATCGTCATCATCAGCAGCATCAGAAGCATCCTCAGGATCAACGTCCCCATCATCAGCATGACAATCATCGTCATTATCATCACCGCTGCCAGCATCTTCATCATCATCACCATCAGCATCAACATCGTACTCATCAGCATCGTCATTACCATCATCAGCATCGTACTCATCGTCAACATCAGCAAAGTCATCATCATCGACAGCATCAGTATCGTCATCGACAGCAGCATCATAATCATAATCATCATCAACACCAGCATCATCATCGTCATCGTCGTCATCGTCATCATCATCGTAGTCAGCACCATCATCAGAATCAGCAGCATCAGCATCGTCATCAGCATCGTCCGCCGCGTCCTCCTCCTCCTCCTCCTCCCCCTCCCTCGCCTCTCCTCTCATCTGCTCTCATCCACCTCTCCTCTCCTCTCCCCTCCTCTCCTCTCCTCGCCTCTCATCTTCACTCCCCTCTTCTTTTCTTATTCCTTCTCATCACCATCCCCCTTCTCCTCCTCTCAACGTCCTCCTCATCCTTCTCCTCCTCCTCCTCCTCCGCCTCCTCGCTCAGCGTCATCCATCATCGCCCATCATCAGCATCATCATCACCATCAGCATCTTCATCATCATCCGCATCGTCATCATCATCAGCATCGTCGTCACCATCGCCATCATCGTCATCATCAGCACCATCCTCATCACCATCACCATCACCATCAACATCACCAGCATCACCATCATCATCAGCAGCATAATCAGCATCATCATCATCGACACCATCATCAATTTCATCAGCATCATCATGATCGCCAACATCATCATCACCGCCACAATTATCATCATCATGAGATTACGAAGCAGCATAACCACCACCAACATATTCAGCATCATCATGATTAGCAGCATCGTCATCATCATCAGCCTGAGCAGCAGCAGCCTCATCATCATCATCATCATCATCATCATCATCATCATCCTCATCCTCATCCTCATCATCATCATCATCATCATCATCATCATCATCATCATCATCAGCATCATCATCGTCATCATCATCATCATCATCATAATCATCATCATCATCAGCAGCATCGACAACATCAGCATGATCAACATCAACATCAGCACCTTAAGCAGCAGCATCATCATCCACAACATCATCGTCATCATCAACCGCATGGTCATCACCATCATCTCACCTCCTCCTCCTCCTCCTTCTGGTCCTCCTCCTCCTCCTCACTCCTCATTCGGCTCCTCCTCCCCTCCCCTCCCCTCCCCTCGCCTCTCCTCTCCTCTCATCTCTTCTCCGTCTCCTCTCCTCTCCTCTCCTCCTTCTCCTCCTCCTTCTCCTCCTCCACCTGCGCTTCCTCCTCTTCCTCCTCCTCCTCCTCCTCCTCTCCTTCTCCGTCTGTCCTCTCCTCCCCTCTCCTCTCCTCCGCCTCTCCTCTCCACTCACCTCCTCTCATCGTCCCCTCTCTCCTCTCCTCTCCTCTCTTCTCCTCTCCTCTCGTCTCCTCCTCCTCCTTCTCCCCCTCTCCTGTCGTATCATTTCCCCATCCTATCTTCTTCTCTCCTCTCCTCTCCTCCCACTCCTTGTCATCTTCCTCCTCCTCCTCACTCCTCATCTCCTCCTCCTCTCTCTCTCCTCTTCCTGCTCCTCCTCCTCCTCCTCCACCTCCTCCTCCCTGCTACTCCTCCTCCTCCTCCTCCTCCTCCTCCTCTTCTCGTCCTCCTCCTCCGCCTCTTCCTGCTCCTCCTCTTCCTCCTCCTCCTCCTGCTCTCCTCCTCCTCCTGGCTCCTCCTCCCTTCTCCACCTCCCACCTCCTCCTCCCCTCCTCCCCCTCCTATATCCTCTCCTCCTCCTCCTCCTTCTTCCCTCCTCCTCCTCCTCCTCCGCGTCCTCCTCCTCCTCCTCCTCCTCCTCCTCCTCCTCCTCCTCCTCTCCTCTCTCTTGTCTCCTCCTGCTTTCCTCCTCCTCTTCTCCTCCTCCTCCTCCTCCTCCTCCTCCTCCTACTCCTCCTCCTCCCCTCCTACTCCTCCTCCTCTCCTCCTCTCCTCCTCATCCTCCTCTCCTCCTCCTTCTCCTCCTCCTCCTCCTCCTCCTCCTCCTCCTCCTCCTCAGCATCATCATCATCAGCATCAGCAGCATCGACATCAGCATCAGCATCAGCAGCAGCATCAGCATCAGCATCAGCATCATCATCATCATCATCATCATCAGCATCATCATCATTATCATTATTATTAGCAGCATAATCCTCCTCATCATCATCAACATCATCATCAGCATCTTAATAATCGTCATCATCACCACCATCATCATCATCACCATCATCATCATCACCATCACCATCATCATCATCATCATCACCATCATCATCATAATCCTTTTCCTCCTCCACCTCCTCCTGCTCGGTCCTCCTTTCCTCTTGCTCCTCTCCTCTCACCTCCTCTCACCTCCTCTCCTCTCCTCTCCTCTCCTCTCACCTCCTCTCCTCTCCTCTCCTCTCACCTCTCCTCCTCCCCTCTTCCTCCTCTCCTCTCCTCTTCTCTCCTCTCCTCTCCTCTCCTCTCCTCTCACCTCCTCTCATCTGCTCTCCTTTCCTCTCCTCTCCTCTCCTTTCCCCCCCTTCTCCTCCTCCTCCTCCTCGTGCTCGTCCTCCTCCTCCTCCTCCTCCTCCTCCTCCTCTCATCACTCATCATCATCATCCATCATCATCATCATCATCATCATCATCATCATCATCATCATCATCTTATAAATTATTCCTCCTCCTCCTCCTCCTCCTCCTCCTCCTCCTCCTCCTCTCCTCCTCGTGGCGACGAGAGCCCCCCAGCAGGGCCCCAGGAAGCATCATTGCCAGGATCCCCTGCCCTTGCCTCCCCCCCGCCGACAACGACGCCGACAGCGACGGCAGGCCGACAGCGGCGGCAAGTCGACAAGAAAACAAGTGGGCGACGAAAAGAAACAGGCCTTACACTCGAGATGACATGCCGACCTTACGCGGTGGCTTACGCGGGCCGCCAGCGCTGGGGGACACCACCGCGTCAACGCGGTGCGAACCTCCCGTAAGGGCCACAGCTCCCCAAGCCTCGGCGGCTCTGACGGCCGCCGCCGCCTTGCGCAGGCGCCTGTGAGGTCCCACGCCGCCCCCCGACGCCCACGCCGCCGACGCCGACGCCGACGTCGCGACGACGCCGACGACGACACCGCCGAGGCCGACGACGACACCGCGAGGCGCGCCGCGCCTCCGCCTCCGCGGCCGCGGCGGCCTCGGCCGCCGCGTCCAGGGCCGCCCCGGCCGCGTCGCTCTGCAGAGCCGCCGCCTGCGGGCCGCCAGGATCGCCGCGGCCGCCGCCGTATGGTCGTCGCCGCCGCACACCGCCGTGGCAGTCGTCGCTGTCGTCCTCGGAGTCCCCGGAGGCCCGACGCTTCCAAAACGATCGGAGCGGCGGGAGCTGGGGCAGTTTTGGGCCTCTGCGGTCCCTCGCCGGGCCTCGGGAGCGCGAAAAAGCGGCCCGGAACGAAAAACCAGCCCCAGGGAAGTGGTCCAGACCTCCGGGGCCCACGCATCGAAAAATTGGCGCAGTCGGATGTCTGGGTCGGTGTCGTCGTCGTCGTCGTCTTCGTTGTCACTGCCGTCGTCGGGAACGGCGGGCAAGTTGTCAACAGCTGACGAAAGCTAATATCCTGAACAAGCGGCCGCTAAACAGCTGCATACCGGAAGGGAGCAACAACGCAGCAATGAAAACAATTGAAAAACGGCAGCGCCATTTACAGTCTACAACAGCAGAGACAAACAACAAAAGGTGGATCCAGAAGTTATTGGGGGTCCTGGGTTCCGAGAGAGGCCTGGAACCGATTTCAACTCACATCAGGAAAAATGAAAGGAAAAACGGCGACCCGCTCGAATTGGCCACCAGAGCATGGTACTTTCCATCAACTGCGCCACGTCGAAACATGGAGGTCGGAATCGTCTCGAATGGCCAACTGACGCACGCGCGATGGCCCGAAAGCCAGCCCGGCGGAGGCACCGTCGTGGACGCCGACGGGAGCAAGGAGCAAGGGCGAGGACGGGGACCTGCTGCCATGGCAGCGCAGCCCCTGCCATGATGCCAAGAGCCCGGCGTCGCCAGGATCACCTGCAACGGCCCTGGCGCGGCGACTTCTCCAGCGGGGCCTGCTCACCCATGCTGGCTGGGCAGGGCGTCGAACCGCGCCCGACCAGCCATAACTGGGGGAGCTGTGGTCCTCACCCCCCTGGGGGAACTCATCGCATCGACGCTCTCTCGAAAGGGGTGTCGAAGTCGATGGGTCCCCCAGGGGGGTAAGGACCACAGCTCCCCCAATTGTGGCTGGCCTGCACGCGCGCCGAAGGGCGCACGATCGGGCCTGCTGCCAGGGCGCCGCCTCCCGCACTGACACAGCCCGAGTCTCACCATCTCCACGGCCTGGTTGGGGGAAATCTTGAAAAACCTATGTTTTTCTTGAGATTTCGCAAGAGCTCGCGCGTAAGCTCTTTTTGCAAATCAGTGTTGCGAAACCCTGTGTTTTTGCATGTGTTTTGGAAACTCGATTGCGAAATCCTTCCGGCACCGAAGGTTTTTGAAGGATTTCGGCATGCGCGCGCGGCGACGCGCGCACGCGTGCACTTCGTCCCATTTATTGCAAGGGATTCGTGAAACAGTCTTAATTATGTTAGAACAAAGATGTCCCCGCGTATCGTTTTTCCCAACGGAACCTCAGGGGGACCGATACCGGTTCCCCTGGGATAGTGTAAATTCATATTTAGGATGGACATGTGGTCAGAATCATGTGATTTACATACCCGAAAAGGGGGATCGATAACGCCGGGGGGGGTAGAGTCTATTCTCTTTTTAGCACGGAGAATCTATGCGACGGCGACGTCGGCGACAGGCGGCACCGCCCGCAAAAGCCGCCTCTCGCCCCGAGCGGCGGCGACGGCGACGGCGACGGCGACGGCCGCGACGAGCGGTACCGCACGAGCGGTACCGCCCGCAAAAGCCGCCACTCGCCCCGAGTGGCGGTGACGGCGACCGCGGCGACGGGCGGCACCGACCGCAAAAGCCGCCATTCACCACGAGATGATTGAGCCAAGTAAGAGACCCCAAGTGCAAGCACTGCTTGGGGAAAAGCGATCACCCACGCGGCGAGAAACATCCTCCGGCTCAAGAGATGTCTGCTCTCAACGACGCGGGGCCTGCCGCGAAGACGGCCGTCGCGGCGAGGGGGTGTTGCTGCCACAGACCTCGCATGGGCACCCCTGCTCTGTGGCAGCATGGTGATCGCCACCAGGGTGCGGAGCTACGATCAGCGTCCCTCTCACGGGGACTCCACTGACTGGTACTGCAGCCAGTGACCCGGCGAACCCAACCCTCCCCGATGTGGGCAACGCTGCAATGCCAGAAAAAAAACCCTAAAAAGACAATTGTTGGCAACGTTCCAAAAATACTGGTTAGTGAATACCCGTCACGGTGCCGCTGACACGGAACGGAACGGAACGGAACGCCTGTGCGGGTATGCGCCCGGGCCACTTAAGGGCGAGGCGGGTGAGGCCATGGCCTCACATGAGAAGCTTCCGCTGACACGAGGCCATCAATCCAGAGCCAGACGTGGAATTTCTGCCAGACCACAAGCCCGCGCCCCAGCCAGGCGACTTCGCCGAGCGCGAAGACGACGTGAGTGCTCCGCAGTAGGCTGCTGCGACGCCGAGGTTGCTACTACCATGCGTCACATCTGGAGTGGACTTCGCGCCTACCTTTCGGGGCATTCAGCAGCTGGAGACGGCGCCAGTAATCGCCTCGGCCTCACGTGAACAGCACAGCTTCACCACCATAACTGCACAGATTACGTGGCAAGAGTGCCGCCCTAGGAGCCACCATGATGGCGAGACGCGGTGCGGAACGACTGCCAACCCCCTCCTCCACCTCGCACGCCTAGAGGGTCTCTCTGGGACGAGAACGATGTCATGATGCGACTGGTTCACCACACAGTCTGGAAATCACGGAGTTTCGAGCGGCCCTTGGCCACTCGTACTCGGCCATTCGCATCCCGCCGCGCGGGACAACAAGAAAACATGGAGGTTCTGGATTGTTTCACTGCCAATCCTTATCACTCCTATAGCTCTCCAGGTGGGGCTTGAGCTTTGACGACCCTCTATCCCCTCCGATGCTCTGTTGCAAGTGAAGCCGAGGGCACGCCTTCCTCCCCACCTCCCCTCAGGGCGGGGCGCCAGCGTCGGGGTGGCGACCCGAAGCGCCGACACGAGACCACTGGGCCCCGCCGCCCGCATGGCGGTAAGGTCCGCTGGCGGCCCCATGGAGGGCCCTGGCGGTGGCAGGAGAAAGGGAGGACGTGGACCGTCGTCAGCATCCCCTTTCTGCTACAGCCTCCTCCCCCAAGTAGCCTCTTCCTCATCCTGTACGCCTCCTCCACATCCCCGTCCTCACCCGACGGCGGCAGCATGGAGACAACGACGACAACGGCGGCGGCGGCAACGGCGATGCCGACCCTGAAACGTTGGCCTCGGACCTCTCTTGGGAACACAAGCGCAATGAGGAGGAGGAGGAAGAGGAAGAGGAGGAGGAAGAGGAGGAGGAGGAGGAGGCGGAGGAGGAGAAGAAGGGAGGATGAGAGGTGAGGAGGAGCAGGAGGAGGAGGAGGAGGAGGAGGAGGAGGAGGAGGAGGAGGAGGAGGAGAAGTAGGAGTAGGAGTAGGAGTAGGAGTCAAGCTAGCCAGCTCGAGCGAGTCAAGCATGGCATGCCCAGTCCCACCCGCCCTCCCACAACATAAGAAGCAAAGCTGGCACAACTGGGGGCCGAAGTCACACCGGCCAGCCGGTTTGGTACAGCTGATGCGGCCGCGATGGCGGTTGCCGACGGGAACTGGCGAGCGCGTGTTGAATGCCGCGCACGCATTGCCAGACGAGTCGAGAATGGCCCGGTACACCGCAGGAAGCCAGAGGTGGCCGGAGGAAGCCCGACGGTCTGACAGGACACCCCAAAGCATTTTTGTGAAAAAGCATTGGGTTTTTGATGTTTTTATGTTGAAATGCTTGCAAACACACGGTGTTCGGTAGGATTCTGACATGAACGCGCGAGTGTGCTCTTTGTGGTATTTTTTGCACAGGATTCGCGGCCTGGGTGCATGACAGAGCATCGCGAGTGCACCGCGCGATGACGTGAAATCGCTGGATTTGACAGAATTCTTAAGATTCCTATGGTTTTCCTATGATTTCAGCAAGAGAGCCCGGGCGGGAAATTTGTACAATTTTTGTGAAAAAGCATTGGGTTGTTTGATGTTTTTATGTTGAAATGCTTGCAAACACACGGTGTTCGGTAGGATTCTGACATGAACGCGCGCGTGTGCTCTTTGTGGTATTTTTTGCAATGGATTATCGCCGTGGACGACAGGACGTCCATGTCGAGAGGAAAAAATAAGAAAAATGTTGATGTTGTATTGTTTTTTACAGGTTAGGATGGGACCACCCGGATGCGCCCGCTATCTGCCGGCCTGAGGGGGGAGTAGGAGTATACTCTAATAAGGAATAAGGATAGGAGGAAGAGGAGGAGCAGGAGGAGCAGGAGGAGGAGGAGGAGAAGGGGGAGGACGAGGGAAGAGACGCGGCTGGACCCCCAGCCTCGAGCCTCGGCCCTCGGCCCTCCAGCGAGGCCCCAGGACATGCCCAAAGAGCCTCGAGCCTCGAGCCTCGATCCCTCCAACCTCGGCGCTCGATCGAGGGTGACGACGGCGCAACGCTTTGGGATCCTAGAGCGCTGCGGTGACAGACCGTGCGGTGCCCTCGACATCTCCAGAGACCTCGCCGCATAGCCGTCAGCGCACCGCGCTCGGACCTCCAGGGCCCCAGCCGCCCGAGGCACACTCTCGGAGATCGGCGCCAGTCCCAAAGCCGTGCGGCCAACCGGAATCCCCACCTCGGGCGCCCATTCCGTGTAAAATTGTTTGCGACGTCGTGCGCGTTTGATATACACAAATCTCACCACAGGAATCCCAAAGGCTCCTCGATGGTCCCCGCCGAGGAGGCATGCACACGGTCCGAGCGGTGCCAAGCCACGGACACGCCAAACGACGAGGAGGAGGGTGAGGAGGGGGAGGAGAAGGAGAAAGAGAAGGAGAATGAGGAGGAGGAGGAGGAGGAGGAGGAGGAGGAGCAGGCGGAGGAGGAGGAGGACGAGGAGGAGCAGGAAGAGGAGGGGGAGGATGGGGAGGGGGGAGGAGGGAAGGAGGAGGAGGACGAGGAGGAGGAGAGGGAGGAGGAGGAGGAAGAGGAGGAGCAGGAGGAGAGGGAGCAGGAGGAGGAGGAGGAAGAGGAGGAGAGGAGGAGGAGGAGGAGCAGGCGAGGAGGAGGACGAGGAGGAGGAGGAGAAGAAGGGAGGAGGAGGAGGAGGAGGAGGGAGGGGGAGGAGGAGGACCTATCATGGAAAGACAAGCGCAATGAGGAGGAGGTGGAGGTAGAGGAAGAGGAGGAGGAGGAGGAGGAGGAAGAGGAGGAGGAGGAGGAGCAGGCGTTGGAGAAGGGAGGATGAGAGGGGAGGCGGAGGAGGAGGAGAAGGAGAAGGAGGAGGAGGAAGAGGAGGAGCAGGAGGAGGAAGAGGAGGAGGAGGAGCCGCCCCGGGGTGCTTGGAGAGCGCCGGCAGGCCCTCCCCCCAACCACCGCCGGACGACGGCCCGTTCAGCAACACCGAGGTCGCCGCCGCCATCGCCCAGTTGCGCCCGGGCAGCTGCGCGCTCGGCTGCACCACGGCATCCCTGCGCGCACGTTCGTTAGCCAACCGTCAGGTTTCGGCCACGCTCGCCAACTTCTCGCGCCACGTGGGTTTGACTTCGTCTCTATGGACCCTCAGGAAGTTTACCCCTATCCACAAGAGTGGCCCTAGGGCGGTGAGGTCCTCCACCTGCCTGCGGCCGATCAGCATCGCGTCTGATTTCGCGCAGCTGATGGACGCTCTGTGGGTTGGCCGTTACTTCAGCAGGATCCAACGTTTTTGCGGGGATGCCCAAGTCGGGGGCGTCTCCGACCCTATCTCGCTCGTTCTCGCCATTTTGCTTTTGTGCGAACTCCGTCAGTATGCAGGGGTGTCGACTTACTTGGCCTTCCTGGACCTGAAATGGGGGTTCGACGTCGCCATTCACAGCGGCATGCTCGTTAACACCTTCTTGGCGGGCGTCTGCGGCAGGGGCTGGCTCTGGATAGAAGACGTTGTCCGCGAGGACAAACAAGTACTTGAGTTACACGGTCTTCTTTCGCTTACTTTCGTGTTAGCATGCGGGACTGCCCAGGGCCGGAGGTTCTCGGTGCCTCTGTTCAACTCGCTACTACGAAATCTGAAAGACCTCCTAGTTCGGGCGGCACCGGGGGGGGCCTGCGCTTCCCTCCCTCCTTGGGCGCGGGAAGCGCTGTTGCGTGCGCAGGCGATTGAACCGCCGGTGTCTCTGGATGGCTTGCCCTCGGGAGAAGGCCACCTGCGCGCCTTTGCAGAGATCGTCCGGGCGATCACCGATCACGCGGTTGCGTTGGGTGCGCAACCGTGCGAGCAGGCGGCTGCTGCCCTGGCATCTCTGCCGTGCCTGGCCGACCGCGTCGCCACCGTCGAACTTCTCGGTGATGCGTCTTTGGACCCATCACAATATATCGACGATGCAGTCGCGGCTTGTTCATCGGTAGGTGCGCTTCGCGCAGTACTGGACCAGACCGTGCCGTCGGTGACGGTGCAGTACGCTCAGCAAGCCAAAGCATCCTTTAATTTTGGCACCAACAAAACTTCTGCCATGGTTATCGGCCTGAGCCCCAAGTTCGATTCCACCGACATGGGTTTCGACACCTGCTCGTCCAGAGTGATTCTAGGGATTATCTTCGGAGCGGACTTGTCTTTTGGCCCCTTCGCGCGGTCGCTGCTCGCACGCGGGAGGGCCCTTTTCGACGAACTCTACCAGGCTGCGGACGCTGGAGGCTTCCTTGCGCCAGTACTCGCCGCCCAGGTGCCGTCCAGGATTGAAGGGGCCATCCTGTACGGAGCCGCGTTCCTTATAGACGTGCCGCACATCGAAACTGACCTGAACAAGCTACAAGCGTACTGGGCCAGAGCGGTTTTAGGTTGCAAGAGAGGGCCGCGCCTTAATTGGGCGTTGTCCCGGGTACAGTGTGGGTGGGGGCGCCGCCTGGGGACGCGGATGCTTGAGCAGGTGTTTATGGCCAGGGCGCGGTTGTGGGTGCTCCCCGGGGGCCACCCTGCAGTGGTAATGCGGGAAGCAGCGCGCTCCTCGCCCGCTCCTTCGTGGTGGAGGCGGGTTGGCAGTATCTTATCCGACTTCCCGGGCGGCCCACTTCCAGATATCATCGACGTCGCCGAGTTCGCAGACCGAATAGCTGCTGCGACGGGAGACCCGGGAGAGAGGAAGGCTCTTCTAAAGCGGTACAAGTGGGATGTGGTTCGCCCAGTACTCCGAGAATATGACCGCCTGGCATACCAGTCTGCCGCCGATCGACCCCTACCTTCCTTTGGCCTTCCTTTCTCGTCTTTCCAACCGGCGGCGGATGATGTTTCGGGTGCGGAGTCAAGGTCGTTGGAAGACGTTGGATCCTTGCACTTTCGCCTGTGGGCAGTCTGCAGGATAAGCGGGCGCTGGCCACTTCCGGTGCTCGGAGGCGAGGAAGCGCCAGTCATGCTCTCAAGTTGCGGTGCTTGCCCTTGCAAGGACGTGCCAGTTACCCACGCCCTGCTAGCGTGCGTCGGCACCTCCGAGCTCCGCAAGGAGCTCTGGCAACGCACCCCAATGCCCCCCCGCGGATCCACAGGAGCAGTGCTAACTACCCTCTTTGGGCCCGAGCGGGGTCCGGATCACGTTCGTTTCGTGGCGCGCGCGTTGCTACGTTGTGGGCGGGGGAGTGCATTTGCTGACCAAACAGACGCATCGGAGGATTGAGCACCCAGCGGAATCAGTGGGCGCTGTCTGTTTCCAGCGCTCGTTGGCGAGGACGATCCAAACGCTTTCACATGTTGCGGTGCCTGCCAATTTCAGGACGTGCCCGTTTCCCACGTCCTCGCGGCGTGCGTGGGCACCGCCGAGCTTCGCAGGGAGCTCTGTCAGCGTACCCCAACCCCCCCTTCGGACCCAAACGGAAGGGACTATATGTCTGCACTCTTTGGGCCAGAGCGGGACTGGACCACGTCCGCTGCGCGATGCGGGTGCTCTTCGTCAGTGGACGGGACGGGGGGTGAGCAGGATGGGATGGCAGTGGAGGCATGGAAGCAAGGAGCTGAGGCAGTGACTGAGTGGGCGGCGGCAGGCCAAGTGTCCAGCAGGACCGGCGGGCGAAAGACCCCGACCGGCTCCCTCCTGGGCCCGCCCTTCCTGCCCTGCGCGCGGCGGCGCGATAGGGCGCGGGGCAGGGAGCGCACTGGAGGGAAACGAGAAACGAGAAACGAGAAGAGGAGGAGGAGGAGGGGGAGGAGGGGGGGGGGGGGGAAGGAGGAGGGAGGAGGAGGAGGAGGAGGAGGAGGAGGAGGAGGAGGAGGAGGAGAGGAGAGGAGGAGGAGGAGGAGGGGAGGAGGGGGGAGGAGGAGGAGGAGGAGAGGGAGGAGGAGGAGGAGGAGGAGGAGGAGGAGGAGGAGTCTATCTGTCTGGCTTCCCCATTCGAGCTGAACGATCTCCACACACATTCACGCTCTGGGCCTATCCTTTCGTTGTTTGGCAAAGGCCTGGAACTCTGGAGGTACAACCCGCTCACTGACTGCAACTAAGGATTGCGAGCACGGAAACATGAACGCATTGCCCAAATCATGTAACTCACTCAAATGAGGGACCTCAGGACGGCGAAGTGCGTGGCCTGCCCTCTGCTGAACTAGTATAGCTCCCTCTCTGCGTCGATGACGTAGGAAGCCGTGCCACCAGCCAGGAAAACTGGCATCATAATTTCTAGCCTCCTCGTCCCAACTATACATAACTGCATAAAGATGTTTCCAACACGTGCCCAACAAGTGGATAACACGGACGTTCTGCATCGTTTCCTTGTTGTTACTCTTATCTCAGAAGGCGCCCTCAGTAGTAGTAGCCTTAGTAGGAAGCTGCTCCATTCGCATACTGTGGATCCAAATCTCTACAAACTCGCAGCGTGGTCGAAAAAGGTCGGTAGTCATGGTCGGCCGTCTCTCTTTAGCAGCTCGTGTTGATGTCTGTTGGACTTGATCAGTGTCCCTAAAGGCTGACGTCATGTCCCGAGGCTCGATCATCTCCTCCTCCGCCACCTCTTCGGCCTCCCCCACAGCAGGAAACAAGTCGTCCTCATCAGAACGTGGAGGAGTCACTTGGCCTCTTTTTAAGACGATAGCTGGATGAAACTCCTGCGGCTCCCTCCACTCACTGTCGTAGCCTGGCCCGAAGTAAGACGAACAGGTGTTGGAAAGATGACCAGGGTCTAATACCATTAATGCGACTTCAACAGGTACGCTCCAGCTGGTTGTTGCTCTACGTTTTTTTGGCACGACAGAGCTGATGTCGGAGGTGAGGGGGTGAGATCGAAGTGGAACGGAGAGCCCCCCTACCGGGAAATCGATTTCGGTTTCGTGTTCGTGCGTGCCGTGCGTGCGGGCGAGGCGAAGCTGCGTGGGCGGGCGAGAGAAAATCTCCTGTGGCTGAGGCGCGGCCGGACCAAATGTCTCCCTTCCGGGCGGCCGGTGGCCCGCGGTGTCCCGCCGGTGTCCCGCCGGTGTCCCGCGGTGTCCCGCGGTGTCCCGCGGTGCCCCGCGGTGTCCCGCCGGTGTCCCGCGGTGTCCCGCTGATGATGATGATGATGATGATGATGATGATGATGATGATGATGATGAGATGATGATGATGATGATGATGATGATGATGATGATGATGATGATGATGATGATGATGATGATGATGATGATGATGATGATGATGATGATGATGATGATGATGATGATGATGATGATGATGATGATGATGATGATGATGATGATGATTATGATGGTGGTGATGCTGATGATGATGCTGCTGATGACGCTGATGCTGATGTTGATGCTGATGATGATGATGATGGTGATGCTGATGATGATGATGATGCTGATGATGATGAGGACGATGATGATGATGATGATGATGATGATGATCGAGTGAGATCGAGTGTGAGATAGATCGAGTGAGATCGAGTGAGATCGATTGTGAAATCGATTGTGAGATCGATCGAGGGAGATCGATCGAGCGAGACCGATACTGAGGTCGATAGTGAGATCGATAGTGAGACCGATCGAGTGAGACGTTGGTTCCTCCCCCCCCCGAACCTCCTTATCACCCGAAGGGTGGTCGTATAGGTATCTTCTTGTTTATATCATTTACCGCTAACTTCTCCATCTGGTGGCCACGAGTGAGAGGACCAGCGATGGGGGAGGTCTCCAGGAACTCGGCAAGTTTAGTAGGATACTCCTCCATATGCTCCGCCTCCATGCCTCCTTCCCCTCCTCTCTTCGACACAGACCCCTCCAACTCCTGAACATCGGGGATCGGGCCAGAGACGTGATTGTACTTCCGCTGCTTCTCCCCCGTCGATCTGCCGGCAAAGAACCCTGGCGAGCCGATGCGGAGGGGGAGGAGAAGGAGGAGGGGAGGAGGAGGAGGAGGAGGAGGGGGGAGGAGGAGGAGGAGGAGGAGGAGGAGGAGGAGAGGAGGAGGGAGGGAAGGAGGAGGGGGGGAGGAGGGGGAGGAGGAGGAGGAGGGATCCAAGACGACGTCGGCGGCCCGCCCCTGCCGCCCCGGCGGCCCCGCCGGCCGCGGCCGCAGTGTCTGCGGCCTGCTTCCTGCGGCCGCCGCTGCCGCCGCGGTCGATTGCACGCCGCCGCCGCCGCCGCGGGTCGCCGCCGCCTCCGCAGCCACTCGGCGTCGGCGCCGCCGTCGTCGCCGCAGACGTCGTCGCCCCGTCGTCGCCGCCTCGGGCCGCCGCGGCAGTAGTACTCGCGGCCGTCGTCGTCGTCGTCGCCGTCGCTTCCTCGTGCTGATCCTCCGCGTCCTTCCTCTGATCATCGCCGTGCCCGCCATCGTACGACTGCTCCTCCTCGTCCTCCCCTCCTTCACGCTCCATCCAGATCGTGCTCATCCTGCTGCTCCTGCTGCTGCGAGTGGGCGCCCAGTGGGAGAGGAAGAAAGAGGAGGAGGAGGAGGAGGAGGAGGAGGAGGAGGAGGAGGAGGAGGAGGAGGAGGAGGAGGAGGAGGAGGAGGGAGGGGGAGGAGGAGGAGGAGGAGGAGGAGGAGGAGGAGGAGGAGGAGGAGGAGGAGAAAGTGGAGGAGAAAAACAAGCGAGAGGCGGATGGGAGTGGAGGGGGAGGAGGGACAGAGGAGGGAGAGGAGGGAGAGGGGGAGGACGAGGGGGTCGAGGGCCCAGGAAGGAAAAGGAGAAGGGAGGAGAAAAGGGAAACCGAGGGAGCAGCAAGGATGACTCCTCCTACGTCTTCTCCTCCTCCTCATCCTCCTCATCCTCCTGCTCCTGCTCCTCCTCCTCCTCCTCCTCCTCCTCCTCCCCTCCTCCTCCTCCTCCTCCTCCGAAGCACAGAGGAGGCGACGAACACCAGACCCCCGACGCCATGATTTTGTCATGACGCGACCCCCCAGAAGTCCGGGCCCATTCCCGGGGCCGGCTTTTCATCCCGAGTCGTTTTCTGACGGCCCCGAGGCCTGGGAAGGGCCCCCAGGAGGCTGAACATCCACCAAAAAAGCCGTCGTGATTTTTGTTCATGACCCGATGGGGAGCTGGGGAGGAAGCGCCGAACCAAAGAGGCAGCGGCGAGCAAACGCGCGCGAGATGAGATGAACCCAGGCCCTCTGAAGGGACCCAGGGACACACAAATCAATACACACGAACCCCAGGATCCCATATTTTCTCATATTTCCTGGGCTTTCGTCTTCCCCCCCTTTCCCATCTGTTCCTGCATTTTCTCGGGATTCGACGTTTCATTGTGTCTGTGTGTTTTGAAAGAGCAAAAACTGCATTAACTTAAACTTTTGGCGCTCCGCACGGATGTTTAGATCTGCGCCGCCCCCCCCCCCCCTGGCGAGCGGAGCGCGCCGGGGGCAGCGCCGGAGGCGCCGCGGGGGAGGACCCAGCGCGGATCCAAGAGATCCACGCGGAGCGCCACAAGGTTATGTTTGTGGCGTGTCTTCGTCGTCGAGTGTTTTCTTTCCCCCTCCCGATCCTCAGACCCCCGACGTCATGATTTTTTCATGACGCGACCCCCAGAGGTCCCGACCCATTCCCCCCGACTGTTTTTCCCTCATGCTGAGTCGTTGTTGTTGTTGACGGCCCCGAGGCCCGGCAAGGCCCCCCAGAGTCCGAGCGTGGGGAAAAAAACCCGTCGTGATTTTGGCATGACCCGAAGGGGTCTGGTGGTCCTCAGAGCCTGCAGGTCGCTGAGCGTGTACGTGCAGTCCCCGAAGGCCGTGCGCGGCGAGAGGATCACGGTGCCCGCCGCGCTGCCGGGTGCCTCTCCGCCGCGCGGCCCGACGCGCGCCGCAACGGCACGACGCGGCCTGGCCGACTCTCTGCCCCGTCGAAGGCAAGCTCGCTCGAGCCGCAGGTCGAGGAGGAGGGGGAGGAGAAGAGGGAGCAAGAGGAGGAGGTGGAGGAAGAGGAGAGGGGAGGAGAGGGAGGAGGAGGAGGAGGAGGAGGAGGGGGAGGAGGAGGAGAGAGAGCAAGAGGAGGAGGAAGGGAGGAGGAGGGGGAGAAAAAGGAGAGGGAGGAGAGGGAGGGAGGAGGAGGAGGAGGTGGAGGAGGAGATGGAGCAAGAGGAGGAAGAGGAGGAGGAGGAGGAAGAGGAGGAGGAGAAGGAGGAGGAGGAGGTGGAGAAGGAGGCGGGGGAGGCGGAGGAGAGGAGCAGGAGGAGGAGGAGGAGTGGGAGAGGAGGGAGGAGGAGAGGGAAGAGGAGGAGAGGAGCAGGAGGAGGAGGAAGAGGAGGAGGAGGAGGAGGAGGAGGAGGAGGAGGAGGAGGAGGAGGGGGAGGAGCAGGAGAGGGAGCAGGAGCAGGAGCAGGCTGAGGAGGAGGAGGAGGGGGAGGAGAGGGAGGAGCAGAGGGAGGAGAAGGAGTAGGAGGAGGACCAATGTAAACCCAAGAGTCGTCAACGATGTTGGAGTAACATGCGCCCTCCAAGCTCCCTCTTCATAGGCCCCTACAACGGTTCGTTTTCATTGGTGGAACTGCCTCGTTTGAAGACACCCGGTTGATGCCCCTGGACCATGCCAAAGCATGTTCTCGGGATTCCAACGCCACGGATCAACCTGATTGTTGCGTCTTGACGATCCTGAATCGTGCCAGATCGCCACTCCTAGGACTTCAGCACAAATGATCAAGTAACGTTTGCACCCGCATAAGCCTGAACCCTTCCCCAACAAAACATTTCTGGTACGCTGATGATGGGACCGTGAATTCCTTGAAGATTGTGTATACGAACGTGCGCGGCGCTAAAGCGAGAACCACAATTTGAAAAAGGAACCGCCCTCAATCCGTGAAGCTCTTGCCATCTTTGTACAACGAATGTGCGCCGCGCGGAGGCGAGAATCACATCTTGAAAACGACTCGCCCTCAATCCGTAAAACGCTTGCAAAGCTTGAAGACGAATGTACGCGGCGTTAGGGCGAGGGACACATTTTGAAAACGATCCGCCCTCAATCCGTAAAGCTCTTGCACTTTTGTGCGCCGCGTTAAGGCGAGAACCGCAGTTTGAACATCACCCGCTCTTAATCCGTGAAGCCCACGCAAAATTAAGCAACGAATGTGCACCGCGCTAAGGCGAGAGCCACACTTTGACAATGACCCGCCCTCCATCTGTGAAGCTGTTGTCAATATGTAGGTTCCAGAGCCAAAAATGGTGAGGACGTCTCGGGGTGCGACAGGGAGAAGTTATTGATAAGGAACAGGAATGGGAGAGGAGGGGGAGGAGGAGGAGGAGGAGGAGGAAGAGGAGGAAGAGAGGGACCAGGAGGAGGAGGAGGAGGAGGAAGAGGAGGAGGAGGAGGAAGAGGATGATGATGATGATGATGATGATGAGGAGGAGGAGGAGGAGGAAGAGCGGGAGGAGGAGGAGGAGGAGGAGGAGCAGGAGGATCCGTAGCCATTTTTGGCTCAAATGGGCTGGTCAGGGGGCCCAGGAATTCCTCGCTCACCACTTGGAGCGGCACTGCTGTACGGTATTCTTTCACCTTCCGCTGCATTCCAAGGCGCTGGCAGGGGCGCCGCATGTGATGCTATTTGATGTCCATGGCAAGGTGATGCGCTCTCTCTCTCTCGGATCTTGCGGGGGTAAATCCACAAGGGCTGGCTCAACTGGCTCGTGATTTGCGTCGGGGCAACCCATGGGTCGGCCAAGAAACGTATCCAACTCGACGCGGCGTTCAACATCATGAGGCACATCACCAACAAGAAGAATGTGACCGTTCTGGAGAAGATCGTTGGAGAAGCAGCTAGCAACCTTGCTGGCGGTGGTGTCTCTCCAGGCACATCCACAGCCGATGGCCCAGACACGGCTACGGAAGAAGAGATTTACGATAGAAGTGGCATGGACAGCAGTACAGAGGACGAGTATTGCGTCCCACGGTCGTTGGCTGACAAATGCGACGACCAGAAACGCATCCTGATGGACATGCGGGCGGATCTCATCAGCATGTCGTTAGATGAGCTAAAGTGCCGTGCCGTCAAGAAGGAGATCGCCACCAGTTACATGGTCGAGCAGCTTCGGTCCTTAAAGGAGGACATGGGGAAACACCAGCAGCAAATAGAGCACATTAGTACCAGTGGAGTCGCGGGTGCCCACGTGTGCGGCCACATCCTGCAAGAGAAGCTGAAGGAGGAGAAGGTTAACATCGGCAGCTCCGAAATCACGAAGAGTGCGGAGCTCTTTGACATCTTCGATGGCTACGCTACCGTGGCAACTCAACCGGAGAAGACGGCGCCAAAAGTGGCGCAATTCATCGGCAACGAGGCTGAGGAGCAGATCGAGGCCGACGCCGAAGAGAACAAGGGTCTCGAGAAACATGGGTCCACCATGACGGCCGGCAAGTCCAAATCGGCAAACGCAGGTGAACTCCCAGGATCCACTGCCGAAGGCGACGCAGTGCCTCAGAGGACCGTGTATGTCGGCAACATCGAGTATAAGTCACCACCACGACAGTTACATGAGCATTTCGACATGTGTGGGATTGCCAGCAGTATCACAATCATTGTCGACAAGCGTACAGGCAGACCCAAGGGATCAGCTTTCATAGAGTTCATGGACGAGCAGGGTGCCATCAATGCATTGCTCATGGATGGGGTTGAATTCTGTGGCAGGCGGCTGAGGGCCCGCCAGAAATATCCGAACAGTGATCCAGGCATTGCTGTTTCGCCGATCAGCGGGTTTGCAGACCGAGTGACCGACCTGTCCAACATAGCACTCTGCCGTAACGGCGTTGGCGCCAAGCTGCATCAGTTTGCTTCCAGCTAGCAGCGAGAGAAATGAGTACTCCAGATTTCGTAATAAAAGGGAGGGGGTCTGGACCCTCCAAGACAAGCCATTTCATACCTCCCCGGGGAAGAACCCTCCAAAACATCGTCCCCAGACCCCCCAGGCCCTCCAAGATAGCCTGGAAGAGACCCCCCCCCCCCGAAATGAGACCCCCCTCCCTTTATTACGAAATCTCGAGTAGGAGGTTGCATCTGTGAGCAGGGAGGGCAGCAGCGAAGGATTGCACGCGCGGCATTTTTGGCGTATATACCGGCGCTGGGCCTCCGCCCGGGCGATGCCTCCCTGGAGTTTCCCCCACAACCTACTCCTCCCTCTCGGTCTACCCCTCCTTCCTATCCTTTCCATCCCCCTCCAGTGCTGCTTCATTCACTTTGGCAGTTCTCCCTGGAGGGGGGAAACCTGTTAGGAGGGAAAGTATGGACAGTTTCGAGCGGAGGTGGACGGGCGAATGAACCCTGTCCTGCCTCGACCTCTGATTCAATTGTTCCTCCATCAACTTCTTCATAAACATATTATTACCCCTCGTCCTCCACCACGCCTCCCCACAGTAGGGAGACAGTGCTGGATTTCAGCCAGCTGGAGGTGGGGGAGCTGATGACGACGCCGATGGCGATAGGGGACGAGACGAGGAGGAGGAAGGGGAGACACAGATACTCTAAGCACGCATGGTATCCTATGTATGCCCAAAGCGTTGTGCTGGTTCCTTGACGTGCCTGGCTGAGCTGATCCCAGGCATTAGGCCCTCAACAGCAATATACAATACCTCCTACATGATTTGAGGAACCATATGTTTACTGGTATGTTGGGGATCTTCGGGATGCAAAGCTGCTGAGGGTGATGCTTTTGTTCCCCATCCGTTTACGGAGCTGCGAAGGCCAAAGTTGCTGCCCTGTCGAGCGCAGATGATCCTATGAGGGGTCGCGGCAAGCTCCGGTCCTGGAGGGGGTTTGTTCGTGCCGACGGGGAGGCGGAGGAGTCGGAGGACCCAGGCCCTCCTCCCCAGCACGAGCGGGAGCCTCGCAGCCACTCCAGGCTCGGCAAGGCAGAGGGGAATTCCAGACCTCTCGTGCTCTCTCTCTCTCTCTCATTCTCTTCTCTCCCTCTCTCTCTCTCCTCTTTAAGGTAGGTTTGAGCTGTCCACACGTCTTGCTTGCAAGTTATGTTGTGCTCGCCGACCCTTCATGTTGTGTCTGTGTCTGTCTGGAGGAGGAGGAGGAGGAGGCGGAGGAGGAGGAGGACGAGGAGGAGGAGGAGGGGGAGAAAGAGGGGAGGAGGAGGAGGAGGAGGAGGAGGAGGAGGAGGAGGAGGAGGAGGAGGAGGAGGAGGAGGAGGAGGAGGAGGAGGAGGAGGAGGGGGAGGAGAAGGAGGAGGAGCAGCAGCAGCAGCAGGAGGAGGAGGAGGAGGCGCGTGAACCCAGCGGGGGTGACTGGCGCACCCGAGTCGCGCTACACGTTCGAGGCCACCCCGCATCGCCCCCCCGAGCGCCTGCCACCCAGGCTCAAGCGAGCAAGGCGCGCCTGCCGCGCCTCCGCCCGACGGCGTGTGCGACACGGCCTCCCTCCTGTCTGCAGATTGCCCCCCCACTCGAACGGTGCTGGACAGAAGCAGTCCCATGGCGCCAACGTCGCAGGGCGGATTTCGTTCGGAAAGCCATCGGATGGGCCCGGAGTGTCCGGGAGAGTCTCTTTCTGGATTTCGAGTGAATTCCGTGCGGGGTTTGTGGGGCCAGGAATGAGGACTAACGAAAATCCACGCACAAATCCACTGCAGCAGGAGGAGGAGAAAGAGAGAGAGAGAGAGAGGAGGCGGAGGAGAAGGATGAGGAGGAGGAGGAGGAGGAGGAGGAGGAGGAGGAAGAGGAGGAGGAGGAGGAGAAGGAGGAGGCACAAATCCACTGCAGCACGTCTGCAAGGCCGGTGCAGTGAGCAGCAGGGGGCCACGGGCCCACGCGAGCCTACGTAAGCGAGGCGAACGGCGCCCCCGAGGCGCACCACCGCACGGGGGCCCCCATCGCGGGGGCCCCCTCCCCGCGCCCGCCGCGGCCGTGTGCCGGCGAGCGGGGCGCTCGCCGCACCTCCACCCGCCGCGGGGAGGGGAGGATCCTGGGCCGTGAGGGGCGGCGCCGATCCCGGGAGGATCGAGGAGGAGGGGGAGGAGAAGGAGGAGGAGGAGGAGGAGGAGGAGGAGGAGGAGGATCGAGGAGGATCAAGGAGGAGGAGGAGGAGGAGGAGGAGGAGGGAGAGGAGGAGGAGGAGGAGGAGGAGAGGAGGAGGAGGAGGAGGAGGAGGAGGAGGAGGGGGAGGAGGAGGAGGAGGAACTGGTGGGGGGCGACGCCATTTTTGGCCACTTGGCAGAACGAGAAAGCCTTTCTCCTGCGCCAAGCTGCGTCGAAGTGGCGCCGCGATGCCGCGGCGCGCCCCTTTCGACGAGAAGGCGGGCCCCTCCCGAGGCACCCGAGATCCTCCGGGGGATCGGGACTCCTCCAGATTCTTCCAGACTCTTCCGAATTCTCCCAGACGCCATCAGGTTCTCGCAGATTTCTGCGGATCGTCCGCGAAGCGCCCAAGCGTCAAGCGCCGGCAAGGTCTCAATGAAAAGGGTGCGCATATCCTGCCATCCCCAGCGAGCAAGACACTCGCCGTGCCCTAGCCCGTGCATTGGCGACCGCACTGGCCGCCTCCCGCCACTCTTGTCCACCAGACAGGAATAGAAAGGCCGAATCACCTCCCTCACCTCCTCCCTTTAAGAACGAACCTTGGGCTTCTCGACGCTGTCAGGGAAACCTCGCCAGCGTCAGATCCTGAGCGCCCGCCACGCTCTCATTCTAACGCTGCGATCTTCTCCCTCACCTGAACTGCTTACTGTGCTTGCTTACTGGGTGCCCGCGCAACACTATGTCGTCTTGGTTGTTGGCTTGCGTATTCTGCTGGCTGCAGCACCGCATTCTGGTGACAGGCCATCGGCTTCAGAGGCTCTGCGATCCAACAACCCCATCCCGTCCCCCTCCCTCCGCGTCCGAAGCCGAGGCCGAATTGTTCGGCTACGTTCGCAGGACATCCGCGGTGGAAAAACTTTGATGAACCTGAGGAGCCTGAGGAGCCAGAGGAGCCTGAGGAGCCTGATGGGCCTGAGGAGCCTGAGGAGCCTGGGGAGCCTGAGGAGCCTGGGGAGCCTGGGGAGCCTGGGAAGCCTGAGGAGCCCGAAGAGCCCGAGGAGCCCGAGGAGTCTCATGGGGGAGCGCCGAGCGCTCCCGGGCGCTCCCAGTCGCTTCCAAGGCGTTCCCAGGCGTTCCCAGCCTTTCTGAGGGCTTCGTGGGTCTATCCCCCATGGGTGAGTGCGCGCGCAGCCGGCAGGGCTGACAGAATGCAAGTGCGGCCTGGTGCATCACATGTCTGACTGTTTGATTCAAAACTTGCCCTCGACTGCGACCTGTCTCGCAGTTTGACGAGTGTCGCGTTGTCTCGACTTGCCAGTGCCATCTGTCCTGTCAAGCTGAAGGACAAAACGCTGGGCCCTGCTGGCATCGGCGTGAACGTACCTACTGCGCGCGATCGAACAGCCCGACGCCAAAGTTGGAGTCGGCCGTCCAGGGCGCAACAGTACGATTGTGTTGCGCTCGCTCGCGCTCGAGACACTCCCGCATGCGCGCGCGCGAGGGCTCGATTCTGCGCGCCGCGTGCACGGAACTCATCGGCAAGCGGGACTGGCAGAGGAGGTGAAAACGACATCGGGTCCAAACCTGGCGGGCGCACGCCTGGCAAATGACGACCGCGGCGCCCTCGCGAGAACCGAAAACGGCGACGTGCCTGGGGGGGGGGTTCTGTCCACCCCCGACTACAGCAGACCACTGGGCATCGTAATCGCTCTGTCCGCAACCCGGGCCCCAGACCTCCGGCCGCGCCTGCAACTTTTTTGATGCTCGCGGGCCCCCAGAGGGCCGGAGACGCTGGTCTCTCTTTCGTCCCGAGCCGCTCTGCTCACGCTCCCAAGGCCCAAGACGAGGGCCCCACGAGGCCGCAGACGGCCAAAAGCCCGCCGCCCCGCCCCCGTGCCTGGTCTGTGCATTAATCAGAAGCCTCTTTGGATGCTCGTTTGGATCTCGTGGGGAGACCCCTGGGGGGCCTCTCGGAGGCCGCTCTGGAGGCCGCTTGGGGGCCGCCTGGGCGCCTGCCGGGGCCTCTTTGAGGGGGCCTCTTTGAGGGGGCCTCTCGGGGGGCATCGCGTGGCCCTCGTGCGGGCCTCGCGCTTTTGCGAGGCGCGGGCCCCAGGCAGGTCCCGACCTAGACAAGCGCGCTCCACGCCTCGCCAGGTGGTGACTCCTCGCAAATGGCCTGGGTCCGCCGTGGGGGACTTGCGGGCTACACTACACCGATGCAGACTTTGCGAGTAGGCGAGTGGGCCCTTTGCGAGTACAGGAGGGGCCCGACCACAAGAAACCTTCCACGAAAACCCCAACCCTGAGACCCCAGGACCTCCATGGATTTCTTGGTGAGGGAAAGTTGCGCTGTCCATGCCAAAACCATCGAAATCCAAGAAACCCAGGGCACCCTGGAGGCGAGCAAGGTGTTTCTTGGCATGGGCCTCCACTGTAGTGGAACACGCTCGGTGAGGACCACATCCCCCTCGCGAGGTCTCGCCGCCGATACCTTCCGGAAGCACCCGCCGAGGCCGCCCGTCGACGCCGAGAGGCGGCCTCCGTGGACGCGGCCTCCGGCGAGGCGGCCTCTGGTGAGGCGGCCTCTGGCGAGGCGCCTTCCGGCGAGGCGGCCCCGGCGAGCGGCCGCTGCCGAGGCGGCGTGGCCGGCGGCGGCGTGGCCGGCGGCGGGGGCCCACCGCTGGCGGCCGCCTCTGCGTCGTCGCCTCTGCCTCCTCGCCTCTTTCTCCTCCTGTCCTCCTCCTCTTCCTCCTCCTCCTCCTCCTCCTCCTCCTCCCCCTCCTCCTCCTCCTCCTCCTCCCCCTCCTCCGGCGGACGCGGGTCT